ATTACCGTAAGTCAGAATTTGTTTGAGGGGAAGGTTTTCCTTACACCTGGAAAACAGAGATTCAAACCAGTAATTTTTCAGATAGAATGCAAATTTTCTATAATTATAGAAAATTATAACCACATTTACCAGTTCATTCAGTCCTTGCTAATTAATCCTTTTTGTTAACAGCTTTATGAAGCCATCAGGTTTTTCATTCGAATTCTTCAATTTCTTACCAAGTTTGGCATTATAGTCTGAAAGTCAGAAACTTGTATTTATTCAAAAGTCCTTTTTATAAACCTTCTTGAAGAGGAAGCATTTTTGCAAAGGCATTAGAGTGAAACTAAGTGTCTATAATGACAAAAGACTTACGAAGGCATGGTAAGAAGGCACGTTTAAAATCTGATCACAATAAAATTAACAAAGTAACTTGGTTACTGTTGTGGAACACAGCACTTAAGGAAGCAATAGTTATTTACTTAGCCAAGGTAACAATAAAAGATTTCAAAGGCAAGTACAGAACAGATCACTTAAGAAGTAAAGAAATTTAAAATCTGTTATCAGAGGCAGTTCAACATTTTAAGAAAACTTGTCCTCTTAACAGAAAGAAAAGCCAAATTCAAGTTTTGCACCAGCTTACTTTTAAAATTCATTTACTTAATTAAATTCATTATAAACTTAGTCAGTCCTGACCATGCATAAAACTCTTTCCTCAGGGGCCACTTTTCACAAAACTTTCTATCACTTTCTGTATCTCTCACTTTGTTTTTCCATTCAGGAGCAGTCAACTCTAAATTAGACCTACTTCCTTTTTTCTTAATAAAATGTAATTCCATTCCTCATACCTTTTTTTACTAAAAACATACATCCTACTTTCCTTAAGCAACCATGAACTGTCCTTTATGTCAGCACTCTGTAGATTGGTAAACATACATCCAAATAATAATTTTTTGAGAATGTGCTTTCTTATAGAAAATATCTCAGTGCGGCACCAAACACATTTTTTTAATAGTTCCAAACCTTTTGTTTCTCTGTAAAAGGAAGCCAATGTTCGGTAATTAATGTTTCAGTATCTTATTTTATTTGGAAATGGCCTAGTTATTTAATAAACTTCCATCCTTTCACTTAATTTAGCACAACTCTAAATGTTTTAAGTTGTCGAATATCTGGAGAGATTATTCTTAAGTAGACATTTCTAAAACATAATTATTCCTAAAAGTTTCACCCAAAACTCTTATCTTATTTGTATTTTCTTTTCCTAAAAGTTTCTTTACATTGGGCTTCCCTGGTGGCGCAGTGGTTGAGAGTCCACCTACCGACTCAGGGGACACGGGTTCGTGCCCCGGTCC